GCTGACTGGAGTTGGAAGTGAGAAAGAATACCGAAGACGATGTGAAAACAGCTGTTAGCATTTGTGGGATGTCTGAGCTATGTATTCATGGCTTGTAGATGTGCCTATAAAGCTATCTTAGTATTTTATTTCTCTATGCTTACATCTGCAGAAAAAAAATCAAACTTCACCACCTAGTGGTAGAAACCTTGAACTGCAGACATACATTCACCATTCCCTTATTCTTTATCCCACTTAATAGCTATTTATTGACAGATCACCCACTTAGTATGTGCCAATAATTGACCCAGACAAACCTCTGTTCTTCTGTACTCCCTCATATGTTGATCACTTTCTATGAGTTGATCATGTTGTTTGGAGCTTTGACGCTTGCAGTTTGGTGTTGACAGTTTTAGGTAAACAGACCCATGGGAGGTCAGGTTTTTTTGGTGCAAAGGGCAAACTCTGGCGTCTCTGGGCCTCATACAAAACTTGCTGTTTTGGCCTGATTACTAACTATTAAAAATGTAAACAAGCTGGGGAGATTTAGAACTTAGAGGATTTCACACATGCATGCATACACACCCCACAAGGACTTGAGGATTCGCTGGGACAGTCACGAGATCCGGCGGCTGCTGCTGGTATTCTTACATTTCAGCAATTGGCTGGAGCTGAAAAACAGCTGCCTCTTGACACAGCTACTACTCTGTCAGACCCACATTGGCTGTTCCGTCCACTCACTTATTTCAGTTTGATGTCTTTTTCAAGATATTCAGACATTTGCTGAATTTGGATTCTCCATGTTTATTCCTAAGGAAACATATAGCCAAATATCTCCAGTCTTTCTTCCAGTGAAGCCCAGTTTCCAGAAGAAGTAATGGTACCTGCACAATTATCAAAGGGATAATATACTTGAACCCTGAGATAGATTAAGGGCCATTTATTTGTCTGGGTTTCTGTTACTGTGAAAAATAATCTTTTTGCTCAATGTCCTACACTTGGTTACTTCCCCTTCCTCCTTGCTTGGTAAAACAGAAGGCTCTTTTTTTTGGGGGGGGGGAAGAAGGCAGGAAGGGAGGGAAGAAGGACGGTAGGGAGGAAGGAAGGGATGAAGGAAGGAAGGAAGGGAGGAAGCATGGAGGGAGGGAGGGAGGGAAGGGAAGGAAGGAAATCAAGCAATGAGAGAGACATTGCCGACCTGGATCTAGAGGTTTACAAGTTGATTTCTTTTTTTTTTAACAGAAGGCTCTTTTAGAGATTTTGACTGTTTCTCCTTATTATTTATCCAACAGATATTTAATGAGCACTTCCTAAGTGCCTGGACCTCTGCTTCATGCAGGAAATGTATCTGAGAAGAGGACAGACATGGCCCTAACAGTGCTAGGGATGTGGCTGTTATAAAAGCTGGTGATGTCATGGGAACCTACGGAAGGAACACTGTACCTAACAGTGTTAGGAGATGAGGATAGGATCGAGGGGATTTTCCTGGAGAAATTTAATGTTGAAGCTTAGACCTTGAGATCAGTAGTAATTTGCCAAGGAGGGAGAATCCTGCACAAATGTCCAGACCAGATTCAAGAGAGTTGTGGGGCATGGAAAGAAACTGAATAGTGTCCTTGAGTTCTGCTGAGGCGCACAGACTTTATCCGGAGAGTCAAGAGGAGCAAAGAGATCTTATGAACAAGGGAGTGAATAGTTACGTCTGTGTTTTTAGAACTTCGCTCCATCTCTTAAACTTATTTTAAGGCCGGGCACGGTGGCTCACACCTGTAATCCCAGCACTTTGGGAGGCCAAGGTGGGTGGATCACGAGGACAAGAGATCGAGACCATCCTGGCCAACATGGTGAAACCCCCGTCTCCACTAAAAATACAAAAAAAAAAAAAAAATAGCTGGGCGTGGTGGCACGTGCCTGTAGTCCCAGCTACTCGGGAGGCTGAGGAAGGAGAATTGCTTGAACCCAGGAGGCAGAGGTTGCCAGTGAGCCGAGGTCGTGCCCCTGTACTCCAGCCTGGAGCCTGGTGATGGAATGAGGCTCTGTCTCAAAAAAAACAAAAGCAAAAACAAAAACAAAACCTTATTTTAAGAGACTTGGCTGAGAGCTAGGGCTCTGGTTCCTTTAGACTTTCTAGTTCAGTTTTATAAGGGACAAGTTTATTGTGAAGGACTCCAGGAGAGGCACCTTCAACATCCTCATGGTGCCACTCTGCTTGTCTGTTGCCCCGCCCCTGGGGCCTCCCTTGTTTTGCCCTTTAGATTCTTGTTATTTTTGCTCTACTTTCCTTGTAAATATCTCTGTTTTCTCTGTAGTTCCCTCATTGCTTTCCATGTAATTCAGGCATCTTCCTGGAGCTGCTGAGGGTTTCTGGTTGCCTGGAGAACCACAGCAACAATGTCATGAACTCCCCCACCCATCCCAGGGAGCCCTTCAATCAAAAAGTCAGCTTCAAAGCCTAGTTGGAAGTAGTCAATGCAAAGCCAAAAGTCAACAAACATTTCTCCAGAGTCTTGGCACCAGAAGGTCTTTCTCTTGTTCCTTTTGCTCAATTCCCAGCTGGTTAGCAGCTTGAACTTCTGCCTACTCATCCCCTTTCATGGCAGGTCCCAAATGTGCCATAAGATTATTGAAGAGACTAGGAATAGAGACTTAATACTGAGAAGACACTTAAGCAGTTGATCCTGTCCCCTATTTTATCAAGAACCCCTTCCCGCTCCCTGACTTCCTGACTTTTGAAATGAGCTAGTATAGGTGTCTGACACTCCTGGTTCTGGTTTGAGCACCTAAAGTCACTGGCTATGTAAACTTGGAAAACTTATTTCACTTCTTTGGGTCCTGGTTTCCTTTTTCGCAGAGTGAGAATAATAATCCCTGCTCTGCCTACTTCACAGGGTTATTTTGAAGAAGAGAAAATAACTCTACATTTGCATTCAATCATTTACGAAAACATATATTGATTACTCAGCCATGTGCCAGCTACTGGGGGACGAAAGCGCTTGTTAAACTGTAACATGTTATACAAATACCACATTCTCGGATGTAGAAAACTCATCACCAACTGGGTCAGACCGGGTGTGTTTGTCCTGCTTCCTTCACCTGTCCTGCCTCCAGTTAGGTTCCTGGGTATTGCTCATGCATAACGTTCAAGGCAAAGCTTTAGCAAGAGCCATAGTACATAAAAGCATTGACTAGCATTAGAAAGAGCTATGGTGACAAGGCCTCTGCGTATTTGAAAGCTTCCTTAAGTCCTGCTGCAGAATGCCGTATGTGATAAGACAGTCCATCACAGTTTTCCTGTTACTCCCGTATTGACAAGTAGCACCTGAAACAATGAACAAAGAGGAGCGAGTGCTCCGTTCTAAAGATTGCCAGCAATAGCTGGAGCCAGAACACTGCTCTCCCAACAAATCCCCAGGGCTTCTTAAAAGTCAAAGCTGGCCCTGCTACCATGAGGCTTTCCGCTTTCTCCTCCTTCCTTCTTTCTAGGCTATGTAAGCAGAAGTCTAGGAAAGGAGAAAAGACAGGGAGAAGGAGTCACTACAGGAGTGAGACTGGAGGGAGGAAAGTGTTCATGGAAGTATCTATAGGGTTTAGAGTCCCAGTGGGAAACAGATGGGATCCTCAAACCAGAACAATTCAGAGAAGGTTGGCTTATAAGGAGGGGCCACAGAGGCTGATGCTGTCACACAGGGGTAGTAGCAGCAGAGCTGTTTCTACTTCTAGGCCCAAAGGGATGAAAGGAGCAAACTGCATGAAGAACCAGAAGGAGAGAGCCATCTCCAGATCTTTTGGAAATTTTTTCCAGTGGTTAGGCAAGAAATAATGGTGGCCCTAATATAGAAGTGTCAGGAGAGTCAGAGAAAAAAGCGAAAATGTGAGAGCTACTTTGAAAACAGATTTACCAAGACGTGCTAATGGAATGAATTAAGAAGAAAGAGAGAGAGGAGAAAAGGGTAACTTGTAGGTTTCAGGCTTGGGCAGCTGGGTTTTGCTTGGGAACCTGATAGGTGGGCGGGATTGGGCTGGAGGATCCACACTCAGTTTTGGACCTGCCAGGTTGAGATGAAAACATCTAGGTGGAGGTGTCTAGCATTCTGTTGGATATGACACCTGAGGCTCCTAAGAGAGACCTCAGCCGGGGATGCAGAGCTTATGTGAACAATAATAATTACCTGTATTAAAGGCCGTCATGTAAGATGTCCAAGATGCTGAAAATCTGATGCTTAGTGAGTGAAGAAACCAGCTCTCGGCATTTTGAAAACTCTTTCACCTGCTAGAATGGCGATCATTAAAAAATCAGGAGACAACAGGTGCCGGGGGGATGTGGAGAAATAGGAACACTTTTACACTGTTGGTGGGAGTGTAAATTAGTTCAACCATTGTGGAAGACAGTGTGGCAATTCTTCAAGGATCTAGAAGTAGAAATACCATTTGACCCAGCAATCCCATTACTAGGTATACACCCAAAGGATTGTAAATCATTCTACTATAAAGACACATGCACACGTATGTTTATTGTGGCACTGTTCCCAATAGCAAAGACTTGGAACCAACCCAAATGCCCATCAATGATAGACTGGATAAAGAAAATGTAGCACATATACACCATGGAGTACTATGCAGCTATAAAAAGGAATTAATTCATGTCCTTTGTAGGGACATGTATGAAGCTGGAAACCGTCATCCTCAGCAAGCTGACAGAAAAACAGAAAACCAAACACCGCATATTCTCAGTCATAAGTGGGTATTGAACAATGAGAACACATAGACACAGGAAGGGGAACATCACACACTGGGGTCTGCGGGGTGGGAGGCTAGGGGAGAAATAGCAGGGCGTGGGGGATTAGGGAGGGATAGCATTAGGACAAATACTTAATGTAGATGACGAGGTGATGGATGCAGCAAACCACCACGGCACGTGTATACCTATGTAACAAACCTGCACAGTCTGCACATGTACCCCAGAACTTAACGTATTCAAAAAAATTAAAAAAAGAAAGAAAAATTGTCTTTGCTACCTTGGAGTTATGGCCACTCCTAAAAGAGATAATACCATTATGCTCTCTTATGCTAATTACTATCCACAAAACAGCTGTTTTGCAGTAGAGGGAACTGAGGTTCAGAGATGTAAAGTACAGTAGCTAGGATTATTATCTTTGCAAGTGACCAAAAGTGCTGTTTAAACCAGTTTAAATGAGCTTAACTCCAGGGGTGGCTTGTGGTTTGGGGCACAGTTTGATCTAGAAGTTCATAAAATGTCATTGAGACACACTGTGTCTACTTTTATATTTGCTCTGCTTTTCTACATTCATGTATTGACTTTACTTCAAGGCTGGCTGTTTCATGACAGCAAGATGGTGACGGAAACTCCAAGCCTCATATGCTCATGACCTAGAATCTATGGAACAGATAACCTTTCTCCCTCAGATGTCCTATTACAGGTCTCAAGTATTTTCGTTGGCTGTAACTGAGTCCTGTTCTCAGCCCTGGCCCAGCACTGTGGCCAGAGGGATGGGATCTGCCAACTGGGGAAAGGGTCAGTCCCACCTAAACATTATGATTTCATAATAAAGGAGGGGTGTATCCACAAGCAGAACACAGGGCTTCGCTCAGGTGGAGGAAAAATAAAATCCAGTGAGTGATCCAGGAAGAAAAGGATCTGTTTGAAGTCACCCAGTTTGTTAGTAACAGGCCAAAGCTAGATCTCAGGAGTTCACCCCATTTACTTTCTTCCACACTCTATTGCCACTTGTTTGCTTTGTTTCCACCAGTGTTCCCAGAGACTTTAGGTGGTCAGAGGCCAGGAATGGATTAACAGCAAGAAGAGTAGTGATAAAAACATCCAAGAGATCCCAAGTCATTCAGGATCTTTCTCTGGCCCAGGGTCACCAGTTGGCCCAAGTTGAACTAGGGAATGACAGAGGAAAGGCACTGCCCAAGCTGGTGGGCAGGAGGACTGGTGGGCAGGAGGACAGGGGAGCTGAAGAAGCTGCTGGAGATCCTGCCCCAGCCCGCACTCCCCTGGCTTAGCAGAAGTCAGACCTCAACAGCCAGGGGACTTAGAAGACCTGCAAAGGGAACCCATCTGCAGAGGTTTCTAAAAGCATCCTGTTGATTATTCACTATCAAGTTGTTCCATGTGACTTTGTCATTTTTTTCTGCCTTCTCTGTCACAAAGTTTTTTTGGTTTTGGTTATTTTTAGCCCAGTGTTGGCCCTTGGAGACTATCAAATCCAACTTTCTTGTTTCACAAAAGAGAGAAATGAGACTCCGTGTTTGAAAGCGAGTTGATTAACTTCACACACTTCCTGTCAGAGTCATCCTCCCACCCATGTCTCCCGACTTCCAGCCCAGGGATCCCACTGTACCTGGTTGCCTCCACCTACCTCTTAATAATCTCAGTAAGGTGCCTGATGTTCCTCTGCCTTGCTAAAGATCAAATGGTCTCCCAGGACTCCCATGTGCAAATAATTTTTACCTTAGAAATAGAGTGGGTTCCAAAAGAAGATTTGCAAGTCGGTCTTTGGACACTCAGAAACACAATTTCCCTAGGAAGATGGGTTTATGTGTTTATAGGTTCTAGCCTTATTTGCAAATCCTGAGATAATACATGCCAACGTGAGATAGAACCTGAGATAATACACGCCAACGTGAAAATCAGTAAAACATGTCTGTTAATTCTTGTGTCTCCTCTTAAGGATTGGGGGCTGAACCACACTTCGGCACTTCTCTATAGAAAGGCTTTAGGGAGCTCTGCGGGATATTTATTCCTTGGGAATTAACTTGCAATCAGTCTGAGACCCACTTATTTTCTTTGTTCACACTTTTCTTCAGGGCTGGCTTCAAGAGCTCATGATTTGTGTTACACAGGGACCCACACTCAGAAGGCCCTGCATGTGGTTTAATGCTCTGCTGTACCCGTCTTGAAATCCTGAATAATTTTTTCATTGAACGTGCGTTCTATAGGTAAAGTCCAACGAGGCAATGGAGCATGCATGGGACCAGAGGAAACACGCGTAATCTATGTGTCCACTGCCATTCCTTGCCTCCCCACTCACATATAACATTTAGGATGCCCCGGACACAGAAGTCAGCTGTACCCAGGACACATGGGGTAGAGTGAGAATCACAGTGAATGTGGAGTAAGTGTGTTACATCTACTGAGTAAATGGGGACAGTGACCGCCCCCAGAGGTCATGCTGTCTGTTCAGGGGCATTCTGAGAAACACAGACTGCCAAGTGTCCCTTTCATATCCTTTCTGATTCAACTTACTTCCGTGTGTTAGCCACCTGCCAAAATGGTGACATCGAAGGAAAGGGAAATGTAGACCACCCACAGTGTCTTCTCATTCAGGTCTTTCCTTACTTGTCAGTAAGCAGAAAACAGACAGTGTTGGTAGAATACACACATGTCAAGAAGTAAAATAAAAATGGCTGAGTTTGTTTTTCTTGGCAGCATTTCCGCAGCTCTGATGAGGAGGAGACACTTATGCGTGTAACTACAAAATACAGATGATGTGATTTCAGTGATTCTACATCAAGCTAAATGCTCCGACATTTAAAAATATTTAAATATTGTATTTTAAAACGAATATTCTACAATATAAAGATGAGTGGTAACACTGATGATGATAATTTTAAATTGTTCTTAGAGTTACATCGAATAGCAAAGTAAAAACACAGGATGAATAGAGAATGAAGCCAAGGAAGAAAGAGAAAGCTTTATATTTTGTGTCTTTAGCAGCAGTTCTTTTCCTACTTTTAGAGCAGGGAACTCCACATTTTGAGTTTGCCCTGTACTCTGCCACATATGTAGCCATTCCTGCCTCTCCAGCTTCGTTATTTACCTTCTCAAATTCTGTTGCTTCAATGAATAGCTGACATATAACTTGCCATTTTGATCCACCATTAGTGCCTCTTTTAAATATTAAGCTGTCGTTTTCGCTTACTACTATTAGATTTATAAAGGTCTGTATTAGTTTGCTTGGGCTGCCATAACCAAGTACCATAGAGTGGGTGGCTTAAACAACAGAAATTGACTTTCACACAGCTGTGGAGGCTGGATGTCTAAGAGCAAGGTGTGGCCAGGTTGGGCTTTTTTTGAGAATTATTTTCTTGGCTTGAAGACAGTAGCCTCATGCTCTGCCTGTGCACTCCTGGTGTCTCTCTGCATGTCCACATTTGCTTTTCTTAAAATTACACCAGTTAAATTGGATTAGGGTGCACCAGTATGACCTTATTTTACCTTAATTGCCACTTTAAAGGCCCCATTTCCAAATACAGTCACATTCTGAAGTACTAGGGGTTAGGCCTGCAGCATATAAATTTGGAGAGAAATACAATTTGACCCACCACAAGGACAGTCCCACTTTTTCTTTTTATAATAGCCTGGAGAGAGCAGCCAGGACACACATTTTGCAAGCTCATTCATTCATTCAACAAATATTTACTGAGTACTTACTGAGTGCTAATGCTGAAGATTTAACAATAAAGAGGACAGGCAGCTTCCTGATCTTGTGGAAATTAGGTTCTAGTGGGACAGACAAACAAAACATAATAACAAATAAACAATCACGGACTGTGAGAAGTACAAGTAAGATAATATAAATAGTGCTGTGACAGAAAATAAAGTGGGTGAGATTTTTCGTAGGGTCATCAGGGAGGGCCGCTCTGAGGAGGTGACAAACATAGCTGATTTAAACATTGAGAAAGATTCCTTAACGCAAAGAGCTTGGGAGAGGAAATCGCTCAGCAGAGAAACAGCAAATGCAAAGGCCCAGAAATGGAAAAGAGCTCAATATGGTCTCGACAGTGAGCAAATGCCAGGGTAGTTGGGGTATCAAGTATAATGTGGATCATGGAGTGAGATGGCAGGAGCAGGATCGGGTGGGGGCCTCCTCTGCCTTAGTTAAGGAATTGAGAATTTTTTGAGTGAGAAGGGAAGTCACAGAGGGGTTGCTGTCAGAAGGGTGGCGTGATCTGTTCTGCAGTGTGGGGGATGGATTGGCAGAAGGAAAGAGTGGGAGATGGGGAAACTGAGTCCTACAGGCACTCACATACCGGCTGTCATTCACACAAGTTCCAAGTGGCAGGATTGGGCAGGTACTTGCTTTACAGTCCTAGAAACGTGGAGCAGGGCGCCCTCTGCTGTTCCATGTAATTCTTAACCCACGTTGATGGCAAATCTAGGAAATGAGGAAAGAAAACTTCCAATTCTTAATTATGGAATATACAGGAATTCGCTAATCACATTTTCAAAATATGTACCAAAATTTTGAGGTGAAGAGAAGGGGGCATGAGGAAGCTCCCAAATAACAGGTTGACTATTCTTAGGAAAAGCTGGGTTGAAGATGACATAGACTGGCCTTTTTATTTTTAAGAGTAATTAATCATTTTAATTACTCTTGCTGTTTTCTAAGGAAGTATACACACTCGTTATAGAAAAAAATCAGACAATACACCAACAAAAAAGCAACGCATTACTCCATATTTTACCATTCAGAAGTAACAAGTATATCCAATGAATATTACTTTAGACATCTTTCTGTGCCTGTGTATGTATACATATGCTGGAAAAAAATGTCCTCAGTAAAGATCCCTCTAAAGTTAAAACCATTGCTACAGCGATTTTAAAAAACAGACTCATTATCTTAGACACACATTTCAATTTTACATGTTACAGATTGTGTCAGTGCTGTGAAACAGTGTTATAAAACATTTAAAACTCATTGCTTTGCTTTGCAATTTTTCTTAGCTCTGCAATGTCTTCTTCCATCTTCTTTATTTTATAATTTATCTTAGAGGTTTTGTTTTACTGAAATCATATTCTTAATGAACGCTTCTCTGCTGGCAAATGTTTTCTGCACCGGGTCAGGTAGTGCATATTTTAGGCTTTGTAGGTTAAAAGAACTTGGTCACAACTGCACAGCTCTGCTATTACAGCATGAAAGCAGCCAGAGACAATATGCAAATGAATGAATGTGGTTGTGTTTCAATAAATGTTTATTTACAAAAACAGGAAGTGGGCCACATTTGGCCCACAGGTTGTAGCTTGCTGTGACCCCTGTTACAAAAGATAAGATAATCATTGTTGACTCTTCCTTCCACCTCACTCTTTTCCAGGTTTTGCTTATATTATTTTCACTTTGTTAGGACTTAATGATAAATTCCCTTATACTACCTTAAAGGCCACACAGGATTAGACTTAGCTGTGAAATTAAATAAACATGGTGTTCCACATGAGTTCTTTTTATCACAACTTTTTCACTCTAGTTTTTTATTGCTTTTCATCTCTTGTTCAATTGGGTTACTTTCCAGTTTTGTTTAGTTTGGTTTAGTTTCAAAAAGAGTTCATGAGTATTAAATTTCCCGAGCTCTTCCATGTCAAAAAGTATCTGCTTTTTATCTCTGCGCTGGATGACACCCTAGCTTGGTGTAATATTTTTGAATCACATTGTTTCTCTCAGAAGTGTGTAGTCATTAATTCATGTCACTTGGCACTGAAGTTGCCATGGCAAAGCCTTGAAACCACCTGACTGTTTTGCCCCTTTAGTGACTGACTTGCCTTTTTCTGCCTGAATGTCTAATGTTTTTCTTTATTCTTAACATTTAACAATTTAACCAGGAAATTTCCCAATTTAGGCCATTATGTATCAATTTTTCTTGACATAAGTTGTCCTCTTTTTTATCCGTGAATACCGTTCTTCATTTTAGGAAATTTTTAGGTTATATCTTTGAATTCATTTTTTCCCCTTATACTCTAAGGATGTCAGTTGTCTTTATATTGGATAATTTTTCTCTCTCAGTATCTATCTTTGTTGTAATTGTTTGTCTTTTCATCCTGCATTGCCTATGAATATCCCCAGCCATCCCTCCATGACATTTTCAGCTCTATTTTCTCTACTTTACAATATGTAACTCATTACATTTATAACACATTGTCCTGGTTTTCTATTTTTCTTAGCACCACAATGTCTTTTGCATCTTCTTTATTTTATGATTGATCTTTGAGGTATCATTTTCTTAGTGAACTCTTCTCTGTAATTAAGCATTTGTAAAGAACTTGCACTTCACCTTTGAGTTTTATTCTCTTCCTGAGGGTTTTTGGTTTTTTTGTTTTACCTTTTTCTTGCTTACTACTTATTTTTGTAGAAGTAGATTTGCATAATTTTGTACTGTTTCTTTTTATTGTGCTCATGCTGAAGAGGGAAGAGTTTTGTTCGTAGTTTCTGTAAAATGACGTGGATGGACTCTCCTTGATGTCTTTCGCACATTATCTGCAACTATTTTGTCTTCCCCTCATGAAAGAATCAGTTTCAAAGGTAGATGTAGCTTTCTATTTATTTTTTAATGAAAGCATATTATTCTGAATTCTCGGTATTTTGTTGACGACCTTTGCTCCTGGAGAAGGGCTGGTCTTAGAAGTTGTACCAGTCATATCAGAATCTTTCTTTCCGTGGATGCCAAACCTTATGGTTCAAACAATGTCCTTTTCTCTCTTGCTGCTAATGTATTATCTGCCTTAATAAATAACCATTCCATCAGTTGGGGAGAGAAGTTTCAGCGATCTTGTTTTGCTCTGGATCTTTACGTGGAGTTGGCTGTTAAAAAGCAAGAGCCAGTGCATTTTTGCAAGGAATTAGTTATGAAAAAAAACAGACCAGATGGTTTTTGGTTTCTTTAGCGCCACATACTGAGATGTGACTATTATGACAACAGGGGTTGCCCAACCATTGAAAATTACCAAGTTCAATAATTTAATAGTAAGAGGCATTGGAATTTTCATACCACTAGAGGGCAGATCTTGACCACAATTGCAAGTAGTCACAGTACATAGTTAACTATTGTCAAACGAATTGTACTGGAGCGTCTTTAAACTTTTACAAAAATGTGTGAAAAGGACAAACTCTAGGGAAATGGAGCTCAAATTATCTGGCAGTCGGGGGCTACTCATCTGTAAGAAGGATCCCATGATTCTCTATCTTGCTGTCTGTATCCATCTCCCGTTAGGTGTTCACTTTTGCCAATCCCCACAAGTCATCCATGCTTGGAAATTGATAAAGCATACCCAGATCCTCCATTTACTGTGCTATTTTCCAGCTGGCATGTGGAAATTTGAAACAACTTGCCCAGAGTTGCAGCTACTCAGTTCATAAATGGTGAAGACCTGAAATGGAGTCCACCGTGCTGGCTTTTGTGCCTTCTGAATACCTCTCCAAACTTGTCACTGATACTTCACTTCTAGCCCTAAAGCCACAAGAGAAGCAATGCCAGCAAGAGATGAATTAAAGTCCTCCCTTCAGCCCTCGCTGTTGGTAGCTCCCTGTGGCGCTCTGATTCATTACTCTGGAGAGACGTTTGTGACCCAAGGATAAGCCTCCTTACGACGATAATAGAAATCTGCCTTTGCTGCCAAGGATGTTCCATTTATCTCTTCAGACTGGGTCTTGCTGCTGAAGGTAACATTAGCCAGCATAAACTTTCAGCCTGCTTCTTACCAAATTCCTTCTTACATCACTCATCATTCTTCACCAGGAAACGTGAGGCTTATTTTTCTCTCCTGGACTACTCTCCTAGCCTTACGTCTTTGGTGAGACGTTACATCACCTACCTGTAAGACAGATGCCTGCACTTCCCTCTACTCAGGGAAGCTCTAAACCCACGATGTCAGTAAAACCCTGCTAAAGGTTTCAGATGGAGAAATATGTTATGTACTCTGTTAGTAACACGAATTGGGAGTATCATTAACATGACTGTCCTTACAAGAAGAAACATTTTATTTTATTCACGTAGATTTAGTTGGGCTATCCCAGAAAATCGCTATTTTCTCTTGGGAAATATGTTGGCTTAAATATTATTAGATCTTCCAAGACCTGACTTCCCCAAAAGGCAGCGGGCAGGTCTGATGTTTTGTTTCAGCTGAGCTCTAAAAACGATCTGCAGCTGGTGGGCTTTAGTTCACTGTGGATTAAAGTGTTCAGTGTCCCCCAGTCAAATAAACATGTGTAGAGAACTATACTCTCTAGTGACCTTGTCTGGAGCCCAGAATAGTGGAAAGGAAATGTTTTTATTGTGATTTATTCTATCACAGAAATAAATTGGGCCTTAGATTAGGGAAGGGCCCTTGTTTGCTTGTTAATTTCTCTGGCGCTGAAGGGGGTAAGAGTTTGGACTTAATAGGCAAAAAAGAAAATAAAGTTCTTATAGGGGAGGTGAGCCAGCCCTTAAAAGGAAGGGAGGAAGAAAACCTCTCAGACCTATGGATCACAGGAGTGGTGCTATCTCATATCAGTTTAAATTTTTCCTTTTCCATGCATTATTATCAATATTTCAGTAGACATCAGACCTCACAGCTTAGCATGTGCTGGGTTAAGGAGAATTAGGACACAGACTCTGTTCTTCTGGCATGAGCTATGCCAAGACAGGGGCCATCCTTAGGCCTTGTTCTTTGGGAACGTCTTGCAAAAAGATCCTAAGAAACAGTTGTGAGAGGTGACCAGCAGAGGGGCCCAGAGCAGCGGTTCAGAGTAAGAGACAGCCAGTGATCATCAAGGTAGATTTGCTACTGTGTGAAACTATTTCCTGAGAATTTTCAGGAATAAGAAGGAGGAGAAAATATAGCTATTATACAATAAATGGATAAAATATTGAATGGGGCTTAGATGAAATTATTTGGCTATTAAGCAGAAAGCCTCCCTTGAATGCTAAAAAACCTTGAGAAATGATGGGTTATTTTGCCAGAGCTTTTCTCCTTGGTTTTCTGTAGCTTTATATCTCCTAAAATAAACTCATGTGAAGAAGATGGGGGCCACTGTTATTGAGAATTCCAAAGAAGAAAAGTTTTAATTGCATGATTGATTTCTGCCAGGAGAAAAAAAAAAAAAAAAAAGAAGCAGAGTGACTTCCATTGCTAAACAAACATACTTTTAGTCCTAGAGGGAAATGCAAGATGCTTGCAATTCAAAGAATAAGATTATTAAAACTAGAAGCATATTTGCAGAAAATGAAACCAAGTAGGTAGCACAAGGAACAGCTTATTTAATCTCTGTATGGTTTCTAAAAGGTAATCGGAAAACCTGGCGTCTTAAATGAAGTGAATTTCATATTATTAACCTCGAGTTCCAGATGTATGGAATAAAATACAAATCTCAATATAGATGTAACTGGGTGTTGCCATGTAACCCAT